CACCAAGCACTGTTTTTATGCCTCTTCGCCGGCGATAACTGTGGCCGGAGGCGCCATGTTTCCAGGTTGTGTCCGTCCATCCGGTCCCATATCTCAAGAACCGCTGGTGGGAACTTCTTCAAATTTGGCACAAACGTCCACCTGGAATCAAAGATGAACTAGATCTTAGTGGTCAAGGGTCACTGGGACCTCACGATCAAACCATCCTGGTGATATCTTGGGAACACCTCTGGCGCATTTCTTCAAATTTGGCACAAAAGTCCACCTGGAGTCAAGGATGAACTGATTAGATTTGGGTGGTCAAAGGTCACTGTGACCTCACAGAACACGTTTTTTGCCATAACTAAAGGATCCATATGCTAAATATGACAATTTCACTCAAATGTCTAATAAGATAAAATTATGAAGTTATGATATTTTGGTCAGACATGGAGGTGAACTGCAACATGACCAGTTGGCGGAGCGGTGTTTATTACAATGAGTTGATGCTTTGACTTGTTAAATATGGACACTTAAGTTCAATCTCAGTTTACTGTTCATCAGTCAGCAGGAGTGCTTGCAACAAGCTCCAGTTGACATCACTCTGATTCGTCAGGGGGGCCACAAGCTGAACCAAAAAATAAAAAAGCACAGATTCCACGAATTACTGCACTGCTCCCATGTCGAGTCTTTGTGTGTGTCTGGTGTGAAAGTTTGCGAACCGCTGATCTAAACAGCACGGCGGCTGACGGTTGTCAGGAGACATGAAAGCGGGGGAGCAGCATGAAGGCGGAGGTCCTGAGCCTCCACAGTGGGACGCATCAGTCCTCCTGCAGCCTCAGCTCACGTAACCGTCCTCCAGCCTTGTGAGCCGTCTGTACCTCACCTCGCACTACAAATCACACTGCGAGAAGATCTACAGCCTGTCTACCCCCCCTTTTTGAGGACAAGAGCGAAGACAATCCAGGAGACGGTGCAGGCTCTGCACTTGTTTATTTTATTGCGGCCATATATTATAAAAGCCTGGCTCTTTTCTTTTGGGGTCTACAGACTCTTTCGTAAATTGTCCTTCCTCTGAAGTCCAAGAGAACAAAGTCTAATGATTACAGCGTCTCCCACCCCACAAAGATCACAGGTTTAAACCGCGTAGCACCAAAGTTTCCAGTGAAATCGATGTGTCCACCAGGAGTCCTGCCTTTATCCTTTCCCTGCTCACACTTTGTAGGTTGCTAAGGTGTCCGCTAATGCTCAAAAAATATGCCAAAAAAACACCTTTAAATGAGTATTCATGAATATTAAGCCGGTTAGTGATGTGATAAGGAAAGTTATATCAAGCTCTTGGCCCTGACTGTCCAGGTGTGTGTTGTGAGTATTTTGGAAAGGATTTGCCGACCTTTGTTTGGGTGTGTGTGTGTGTGTGTGTGTGTGTGTGTGTGTGTGTTTGTGAGAGAGGAGTGTGTGAAGTTCCTCAGCCGGCCAGCGGGGAACAGCCTGGAGGCATGCTTGAGTAATGAGATGAATGTCCAGTCGACTGTCTCGGCTCCCCTCTTCCTCTGTAATTACCTATGCTGTGGTGGACTCATCATTTGTATGTGTGTGTGTGTGTGTGTGTGTGTGTGTGTGCTCCCAAGCAGTCGGTGCTGTGCATTGTGCTGTGAGGAACAACCTTTATCTCAGGCAGCAGTTCCAGGGCTCATAGTTATCTCAGAGATCGAGACTCCAGAATCTGACTTTTTCAGCCCATCGCATCGTCGTAGCGTATCGTTGGATCGTATCATCGGAACGTTGGATCGGATCAGATCGTTGGATCGTATTGTCGTATCGTTCTGTCGTATCGGATCAGATCGTCGTATTGTATCTTCGTGTCCTATCATTAGACCATATCATTGTATCATATGACAGATAACAACATGGACTTTGTAATGTTCTTTGTAATCAAACATGCAGAGATGGAGATGCAAACTGAAAGCACCGGAAAAGCCTCCAAATGACGAGTGTGCTGCTGGTTATTTGTCTGGATTATTGTGTGACTGTGTTCGACCAAATAGCAATAAAAAAAGGATTCACTTGTCTTTGTTGCTCACTTTTTCACTCTTTCTATCTCTCTCTTTTAGTGCAGCGGTTGGGAATCTAGTTGTGCAATGGTGAAATGTCAACAACATTGAAAGTAATTACTTTGTTCAGATCAAGTACCGACACCACTGACAAATGTTCCTGGACCATCGGAAAGTCCCACCCCAGCAGCACCAAGTTTCTGTAACTACGTCCCTAGAACCAAAACTAAGACCTGGTTCCTGTGGTTGAAGGTTTCTCTACTATGGAGCCCAACTTCCAGTACGACAAGAGGACTTTTTCATGTCCTCTTGTGTCTTCTCCATCATCATGTGCTGATGAAGTGTACAGTACACTCAAAAATCCCCACTGCCTTTTCTTTTTAAATGTCTATTTCCTCATTGTGAGTTGTATTCAGGAACATCACCTCCCAGGGCAGTGAAGAGTTCATTTCTGTTGTGTTCTCAGTTTCTGGTGCTGAGTTCATCTGTCATCTGACTCACGGAAGAAATGAAAGTCCCTATTTAGGAGATTCTGTTTTTATCACTACTGCATAGTTTTAAAAGCATTTTAACATAGTTAATCAATGTGGAGCCAATTTTAATTTCAGTAGTAAAGTTCTGCATCATATCATATAAACATATGTTTTTCATGTACAAATAAACTAGTAACTATAAGTTTTAAATAAGTGTAGTCCAGTAAAATCTACAATATTTACCTCTGAGATGTAGTGAAGTAGAAGTATAAAGTGGAAACTCAAGTGATGTACAATTACCTGAAAATTGCGTTGAAGTACAATGCATGATTAAATGTACTTACATTGCACCGCTGCATAAAGCAATACGCTGCATCACAACAAAGAGACGTAGACGGAAGAAAACGGCCTCCAACTGTAAATGCCAGCGACATTCTCTTTAAAGATTCCTGTTAAACTCATTCCAAGTCACTCTATAACAGAACAAAGGCTGAAAGCTCCAAATGCAAATGTCACTGCAGGAAAGCAGACTGAATCTGCATTAGCAGACTGAATCTGCATTAGCATCACTTTAGAACCCCCCCCCCCCTCCCTCAACCTATAATTGCTGTGTTTGTGGATAAAAGACTGAGGAGATGAACCAGTTTAATAGAGAGAGGAACACCAGAAGACCGTAATGCTCTCAGCAGACATCCAGAGACGAGCCATTAGCACGTCGCAGCCTCTTTGAGGAGCCGTTTCCTCCCAATGGTGCCCTCTTATTATTCCAAACTGAGACGAATTTGCGGCCTCTGGGGACGTGTTCACACTTAACAGTTTAAAATGCATCGTGATTGCATGTGGATGGCTAAATACTAGTGCCCAAGATGCACGTCGGAAGCATTGGGATTTGAGTGCTTTATCTACATTCTGTGGTTGTCAGAGACATGTGATCATATAGCTACTTATTTAGAGTAGTTTAGACTTGGTCAATTGCTACTTTGTTCATTATATTCTACTTCAGTCTCACCTGGAACGATGTACAATCTGGATACAACTGCATACAAGAAAAGGGATCTAAAAAAGGACCTTATTGGCCATTTAGACCCTGAAAAAGCTTTGTGTAAAAACATTTAAGGGGCCAACAGAGTGGCAAGTCCCGCCACCTTATTGCAGAAAAAATAATATGTACGATAGTCATCGGGAAGAAACAAATAACTGTTTAATACTGTTTGAATTGTGCCATGAATTACACATATGATGTTTGTCAGTTTAAAAGATGATTTTCCACGTGTATATAAAGACTACACACCCAAAAGAGGCGTAAGTGACGTCTCTCTCTGAAGCTACGAAGCCTCTGTGTTTAGTATCAGGATGTTCTCACACCAACAAACGAGTCTCGCTCGCCCTTTTGCTTCCCGGCTGATAAAAGGACTTGCTGGATAAAACACATCGTGTAAGGTAACGTTACATTTGTGAATGGATATAGCAAAGTTAGCTAGCTAGCTAGCCAATGGAACGGCCGTGTTAGTGACATTCATTGAGCAAGACGAGTTCAAGACGTCTCTTTGAAATGAGTGGCGCATTTATTCATGCATTGCTGTGGTCTTTGTAGTTTACCATACATGGCGTATACCTCAACCCCCACTACCATAACCCAGCTGCTGTGTGTGTGTGTGTGTGTGTGTGTGTGTGTGTGTGTGTGTGTGTGTCATTTCTGTTTTTACAATCAAACACAGTAACTTGTGCCTTATTTACTTGCTGTAGTTGAATAAAGGAAATTTATTTTACATTCAAAGTCTAATTCTTTACATTAACCTAAACTACCATATACATTTACATCTCTTTAATATCTGAAGGTGTCACTCTACTTCCATCGTGACTCTAGAGATACATGTATTATGTTGATACTTTGATTCACATTATCAACATCTGATCATAAGATTTTGGATAAATAACTAATTTGATATGCAGGAAACGTATCACGTTGCATCACAGCTTCGTCAAAGGTTTGCACATTATATTTGCAAAAACTCACAGTGCACTTGTTTTAGAATAAATATTCTACAACACACAGTGCTATATGAATACACTGCATATGAAAAAGGAATGAATAATAAGATACAATAACATAAAACTTTAATGATCCCAGAGGAGGTATGAATAATTAGAGGACCTGCAAAGATACAAAAAAATATAGGACAAATGGGAGCTTTGCAGATTGAGGCGAAAATAATTCAAGAATATGTAACACATTGTCAGTATAATATGTAAATTAATTTTATGGGCAAGATATTGCTTTGGTGTGCACAATAAAAAACTGACACAGGAGAAATTAGTGCCGAGTACAATGTTATTATTTCATTAAGTTATTTGTCTTATGTGTCATTACTGTCATCATAGTCTTTTTATTTGTATTCATTTATTTCGTATTCACACAACTCAGCCACACGTCACCCGGAAGAGAGCCGCGTCAACCCGGAAGTGAGCAGCGTCGCTGTGTGTGTGTGTGAGAGTGGGGGAATGTTTACATTTTCTTCAGAGCGTTAAAAATGAATCCTCCGATGATCAACTCGACCAGCTCCGTTTCGACGACCAAAAGTAAGAATCCTTTAAGCCACCGACATGTTTATATTGTTGTAAACAGGCAGCAGAGAGTCAGTTAGACAAACACAGTAGCTATAGGTTAGCTAACTGTTAGCAGCTAACATTAGCTGTGTTTGTGACAAGGAGCAGAGTTAGCTTCCTGGTTATTAAGCTGTTGAACCATTCGTTCGCTAAATATGCTATTTGCACAATGACATCATGAGTGTTTAAGTGTTATATTAGTCTAGTATTGTCCCTTATGTATCTGAATTAGCTTTCCGGCTAACCTTCCAACTTTTCATATGGAAGTTGTCGCACTGTAACGTTCAGTTTGAGCCAACAGCTTGTTATCTGGCTAATTAGCAAACATGAGTAACGTGAGAACATGATCTCTGCCAGAGAGGGACATGAATACATGTTTCTGAATCCAGCCAGGGTTTATGACACTATTATAAACTATGTTATGTTATTAAAGCTAGTTTATAAGTTTGTAGGTACGTTTAGTTCCTAACTTCTGCAATTCATGCACACTGTGTTATGAATGTGAATCTATCTCAAGTAGCCTTTATTTCCCTGCAGAATTATGTGTCATGATGAGCAAACTCCATGTAACTATACTACCACACTTCTAAATTAAAGCTGCTATGGACTGAATTCCTTTTTTCCGAGTTATGTATCATCGTTACCTAAAATCTGTGTACATGTTTGGCTGAGTTGATCACCTGCATACTTCTGGTATGAGGTCACATAGTTGGATGTAGAGAATGATTAAGGATGCCTGCTGTGTGCATGGCTGCTACTCTGCTGTGGTTGTTACATCTCGAACAGTTCAGACCAATGCAGTAATAGAGAGCCGATGTATCGTGGCATCACACTGGAAGGTGTTTCTAATATTTCCCACCTCTTGTATGTCAGTGAGGATGGAGTAATTATTTATAAAGTAACACCTCTCAGTATATATCGCAGTATAGTTCAATAGCACCACAAACTGCAGCTGAATGTAGTTTTATACCAGCGATGAGTAACATCTGCACACTGACTGGAATCAATTTGATTTGATTAAATGTGTGGTTTGGAGTCGGTGTGTAGGTATTACTTTTTCATGGAGTTTGTTTTCCAACATTGCACCTACAGGTGTTGTGTTTATTAATGCTCCGTCTTCTATTGTTGCACGAAACCTCAGATTACGGCGGAAAATCCCTTTTCAGGAAGTGATCCTTTTGCTAATTCAAATTCAAAAAGTGTCAGCGTTGTAGCACATGTCCATTTAATGATGCCTGTCATGAACTCCATAACCCCCGACCACCAGCTCTGCTCTGTGACGTTGCAGACTGTTTTCATCTGTGTGTCTGTATGCGCAGGAAAACGAGAAGCCGAGCGCTCCGTTAACTGGACGGTGGAGGAAACTCAGGTGCTGCTGTGCGCCTGGAGCGACGAGCGCATCCAGAAGAGTCTGGCAGAGAACCTGCGCAACCGGCACGTCTTCAAACACCTCTCGACCCGCATGAGTGAAATGGGCTTCTCTCGGAGTCCACACCAGTGCCGGCTTCGAGTCAAGACTCTGAAGGCCAACTATGTGAGAGCCAAACTGCAGAGGAGTATCGACGGCTCGCAGCCTTGCATTTTCAGATATTTTGCAGAGATGGATGCGGTGTTGGGCCGCAGGTCAGCGGGAGGGTCTTATTTTGTTCCTCCAGAGCGGATGGCGACGCATCGCCCTGACTCCATTGACAGGACAGGAAGTATCCCGCCAGATTTAAACTCTAATGTCGAGATTAGTGAACACCATTTTGGTTCTTTGGAGAGGGCGGGAAGACAGTGTTTGAGCTCCTTTGAGGAGAAGGGAGGCCATCAGACGTGGCAGCTCGACTCTGAAGTCAAGTTGGAGGACAGAGAAGATTCAACGGACGAGTACGAGTTCAGCAATTCAGGATTCCCACAGCGACACGATGCAATCTATCTGGAATCATCCATCCATCGGGAAATGACTGGTATGTACTGTGATTATTATATAATTCATAATACCCACAAAATATTAAATAATTATAATAATTATTGTATGGTATTATGGTAGCTAGAACCAGAGAAAGTTTAACTTATTTAGAAGTAATTATTGTACTGTCGCTGTACTAATCCATTAATTGATTTTTTAATCTACAAAGATGATCCTGTTATCAGTAATAATCTCATTCCTGTGTCTTACTTCCTGTTTCATAGGTCCACAAGTGGAGAACAGCTTGAGGACTCCTTCCCCACATGTCGTACCACCTCCACCTCCAGCTGCTCCCCCTCTTCCCCAATCCGCTGCCTCTCCTCTCCCTGCACCTCCACATCCAATCCCCAACACGCTCCCCGCCTGTGCTCCTCATCACCCGGAGTCCTGCCTCGAGCACCTGTCGGAGGGCTTCCAGCGGCTGGCGTCAGAGACGCGGGGCCTGCTGTCGCAGCTGGAGAGCCAGCGGCAGGAGCAGGCTCGCTGGCATCAGGATCTCCTGGCACAGTGGCTGGAGAGGGAGGAGCGCCGGCAGAGGGAGGCGGCCGAGAGGGAGGAGAGGAGGGAGAAAGCTCGCATGGAGCACGAGATCAGGGTCCTGGAGCTCCTCACCGGTCTAGCCAGAGAACAGAGGTGTAACTGTGCAGGCAGCCAGACCGTTGCAGAGGCACCAGCTGGTCCGAATTATACCATGAACAAAGGAGGAAACTAGGATGAACCAACACCAAGGATATATTTTAACCCAAAGTGTGGAAGAGTATTCAAGCTCAGGTGGAACCAAATGACGCAGAAACAGTGTCTTCAGGGCGGCTGGGATGAAGCCTTTATCCTGAGCGATACGGAGGGAAATCTAATCAAAACCAAATTCAGGAAAATACTCAAAATCTCAAGAGTCTGTGAGGAAGATGATTGCTCGAAGAAATTACAGTTGAAGTGTGGAGAAGATTTCTTAGGTGTCCCTTGATTGCACCAAATGTAATGGAAACTGTTTCATGCACTTTTATATAAATTAAAAAGACAAGATATTTTCAACCAGTTGTTTTTGCCACTGGGATTTGTTTACCAACATTGTTGCCTTTTGGCACTGATGGAAACGTCTTTATCTCGCTGATGGTTGGCAATATTGACACGTTGCTCAACAACCCGAGTGACGACTTCATCACTTCTGTTAGTCTGCATTCACACCGAACCAGGCGTTGCTGCCATTAGAGCAGCATTAGAGGGCTGTTATTCGGTGTTGGGGGGGGGGGGGGGCCTAAAGGGGCCTAAAGGGGCCTGTTTGATTTGAACAACGGTTACATGTTTGACCACCGCAGCGCGACGTCGGATTTATGTAACACAGCGCACACAGCACTCAGACAAATAGTTCACTGATTAAAGTGCTACAAAGATGTTTGAGTGTTTTACAAAGACGGACGAATCGCTTTGAATGCTTCACAAACAGAATGTCTTAAAAAAACAAATCTTCATTTGAGTAAATATTATTTTCCCATCAAATCAAATTATTTATTTTATGTATTCAATTCATGACTATTGATCTTTACAGGGCTGGTTTAACTGAACAATGGTGCAAGTTAACTTTTTATATTTTTAATATGGATCATTTATTACAGTTGACATGCAGGAAATACAAAGATGCTGACTGTACAGTATGTGGTGATTATTATCAGTCTACATTTTGGTGATTTATTGATCACATGCTCCGTGTTTCTGAAAGCTTTTGTAAACTACTTGGAACTCCAACTAGACCTTTTAATTACAGCTTAAGATCAGAAGTGCACAATTCAATTAAAGTCTTAAACTTAAAGCTGACGATTAATGTCGATGCATTAGATCTACATAAATGAGAAATGTATTTCTGTGACATAACGAAGACACAGAGTTCTGACACTGATGGGGTGAAGGGAAAATATTAATCTGCCTTCATCCCGAAACAATAACACAGTCAGAGGAAAAAAGAAAATAAATAAAACAGATTTAAATATAAGAAAATTTCAATTGAATTTGAAAAAACACAAAAAAAGGTCAAATATATGTGAATCACACTAACGAGCTGTGCAGGTCCCTCGGTGTTAAAGGGGTGTTCATCATTACTCAGGATGTTTGTCCGTGTGACCTGTGACCTTTGACCTGTGACCTGGCTGCTGCATCGGCAGCACAAATGGGAAGCCTCTCACTGTAGATCCCTGATGCCCATCTTCACCGCTCCGTGTTGAGGCTATATGTGGAGCGCAGCACAGACATCAAGTCAGTGTTTATTTATTTCCCTGCAGGAACATTTGAAATCCAGCACATCGGACTGGATGTCACGCTTGCGTAAGAGACCTTTAGCACAGTTCTGGTCCTCCAGTCTGGCTCTTTGTAAACATCTCATGTCTTAAGTTCTTCTGTGGACATGTTGTACCTTTTACATTACCATGACTGGTCTGATTTGTGATGTATATGTTGCTGTTAAACCCTGAGTGGCCTTTCTCTGTGATGGGGAGTCTTTTTCTTCCGTCTTCACACTCTTTATCTGTGAAACCTCGGGGCTGCTGCTGCCCCACACTGATTGTTACCTGGATAGACAAACACGGGCTGCCCTGAAGGTACAGAGTGTGAACTCGTTGGCTTGGAAAATCCCCAATTCCTTTAGCTTTTAACAATGCTAATCAGCACTGATCAGGCTAGTATTCTGTTATATCGGACGTGTTTGAGACCAGACACGGGAATACTTAAAGAATGCAGCTTTCCTACTTTAAACAAATCCCTTTAAAAGACCAAATCCAACCATGACTGTATCTGCTAACAGGTGTGTGTATCCTGAGCCGGATAGATCTTCTTCTTCTGTGCCGTAGAGCTCCATTGTTGTCCAAAATGATTAATAACACACCAGTGAGCCACACTGTTGTACTGGGTGACATGTTCCTACATGAACATAAACAATCTAGTTAATTTTGACTCAATCCCACATGCACCGTACTGCTGCTCCAAATTCTCACTAGAAAACCAAAAGTGGATTAATCCACCGGTGAAAGTAGTCCCCAACAACATGACCTGTATTTCCTCCTGGTTGAGTGTTTGTTAGGAACAGCAGTGCCCAGCTGTTTGAGGAAATCACTGAGCTTTCTATAGAAATCAAACTAGATATTATATTTCAACCAAATCGCCAGAGACAAATGTTGGCTTTCTTCGTTTCTTCCAAACCAAGAGATATGGTGAATGTTGACTTTTCTTGATCCAGAATAAATATGTTCTTTAAAGGTTTAGGATGATGCAATGTAACTAATTAACAATGTTAACTTTTGGTTTCACACGGGACTCGAACAGCGGTCTCCTGGGTGAAAGTCAGCTTTCCTGAAAGACCCAAACTGGAAAATATTTTGTCCAAGAACTTGTTAACCCTTTACAAATACACACAATCATCCTGTTTCTTGACCAAGTTGAATGCTCAACATTTCCACTTGAAATGAGACCTGATTCAGACCATTGTTTATGTTCTTTGTGTCCAACGCAAAGACTGCAACCCTCATCTTTATGGTCAAACTGTGCAGTCCTTTAAGCGAGAGGGATTGTATACGTTAATCTGCGCTAATATCAGATTACGAGATTTGGGATGATTTGCTGTTGTTACACCGTGGCTTATTACTCTGCTCAGCAGTGTGGAGGAAAGTCAGAGATTCTGCAGCTCAACAAACATCCGGTATGAAGTCTCTGTGTTAGTCACGTTTCTTCAAGCTGTTCTTAAGGGAAACATTCTGCTGTCTCGCTCTATTGTCTGTTGTTCAGGGAAAATGTACATAAATGAAAAACAACCTTTTGTGTTAGAATGTCGTGTTCTGCAGATCTAAATGTAGATTCATTCTTTATTACTTGCCTGGTTAAGTGGAAGCGAAATAATTGAGAACGACACAACGACGTGATGACAGAACACTGCATCAAAAGGTTTAATACATTTACAATATTATAGCGGCTTGTGTTTTTACTTCATTTAATCTGTACATTTGTTTTTTGTGTGTAGAAATCCACTGATTCATATATTTCATATTCTGTTGTGTTGGGGACAGAGAAAGAGACTCAGCTCTACTGGTTAATTTCGTGTGGCAGCTTTTCCACTGATTTAATCTGTACGAAAATTATAATTAGTTTCTATCGGTCGTCGTGAAGCTCCAGTTTACATGACCTGGACTTAGAGAGAGAGAGAGAGGGAAGTGGGAGAAAGGAGGGGGGAAGAGAATAAATTTAAGATTTTTATGGTTGAGCGTGAAATTGTAACATCAGCTTGGAGCCATTTTTCCTCTGTGGCTCCTCTACAGGTCACAATGAATAGACACAGAGCAGGACACACAATAATGAATATTAAATTGTATTGTCATCATATTGTCATGATCTAGGGATGACTCTATTGGACTGTTGCTCCACCATTTTGTTCCAGACTGAATCAGATGGATTGCCGTGACATTTCGTCCAGACATTCATGGTCCCCAGAGGATGAATATTCTGCTGACTCAGCTGACTTTTACTCCAGTGTACCATGATGTTGACTTGATGTTTAGCTATTTTGGAGGATTGGTGTTATCTCAGCCAGGCGAAACCCTGGAGAGAGTTTACGTGTTCAGTTGTGAGTGACTGAGTGAGTGTTCACCTCTGTCCACAGCTAAGGGGCACAATACTTTGGGTGGCTAGTGATGGCTACATGCTCAAGGACTGCTGAGTACCTGTCGGCCACTGCTCTGCGGCTCATTTTATTAATTTTTTTGGCTAACCGCTAAAAGCTAACGGAACTACCGGTACACACACTGCTGAGTAGCTCCCCGCCGTTGCTCTGCGGGTCACCTTTATTGTGTTTTAGCTAATGAAACTACCAGTGCACTCAGTGCTGTGCTTCACCGCTGCTTATTGTCCAAACAGCATGATGAGTTCACCTTTTGTGTTTTGGCACGATTGTATGAAGTGTATTATACAACAACTTCGAGCCCATTGCTTGTAAAATGTTATATTTCTACTTAATTTTTCAGTTTGAATGAAGTCTGTTTGACGATGCTTTACAGCACCGGTTGTATTCATTTCATCACACAATACATTGCAGACACACATCGCGGAGATCTGCACTTTTAGTGCAACTTAGACATGTATGTTCCCCTCAGGATGAATTGTATTTAACTTGGGGATCCCCTGACTTTCCAAAATGTAAAAATGTTTCATTTGTGCAGTAGTTTCATTTATTAACAACCTGGGACATTCCCATCAGCCCTAGCTGTACTTTCCGTTGCTAATTAGCAAATGTTAACATGTTAAACTAAGATGGTGAACGCTGTAAACAAACCAATCTGGCAGGGCTGCTAACGTCTTCGTGTTATAATTTTAAGACAAGGCTTTTGTGTTTATATTGCACATTTTATTATAAATAAACTATAACAATTATAAATACACCACTTAAAGATACTGAAAACACTCACATCACCACACAGACAGAAACGGATCTTAAACCTGAGAAAATAGGAACGCTGCATTGTTATATCCGACATATCCCTGTAGGACAAATAAAATCAATCTGAGTTGAGAATTGAAACATGCACGAGGAAGAGTGAAAGCGACACAGATGGAAGAAGTTTCGATGGAGAAAGGAAAAGAGAAATGAAATTGAGAACGAGAGAGGAGGGGGAGGATGAGAGGAGGGGGGGGAGGGTTCCTCTCCTCTGATTGGGTGCTGCCTCTCCCCTCACAATAAAGTCTTGAGGCTGCTCGCGGCTCCGCAGCTCAGACTCACGAGAGAAGAGCGACGCAGCAGCAGCAGCAGCGCAGCCGGAGCTGTCATTCGTTTTCATGCGGATTCTTCTCTCTCCACGAACAAACCCGCTCCGCTGAAACCGACAATACACCTTCTGCTTTCCCGCATTTGCACCTGAACAATGCTGCAGTGAGGGAGCGGAGGGCAGGAGAGGGGCTGCTGGGTTTCACCGCCTCCGGTTTATTCACATGTAAAAGAAAGAAAAAGGAGAAAGTGTCGGCTGTTGGAAGGCGGTTTTGCATAATTTCTGCAAAGGATACGAGTT